GCGAGGCCTGGGAGGCTGCTGTGTATCTGTGCCCAGACCTGCAGGAGGCTGGCCTTCCTTGTTTCAGAGAGGTTCTGCCACAGGTGGGAGATGGCCGCAGAGACGATGGGGAGAGTCACCTCCTGAGAGGAGACAATGCCGTTCGCAGTCAGAAGGTCCATGGTCTGCTTGTAGAAGCTGAGATACCTGGAACAGAGACGGCACCGTTCCCAGGCCTGAACCGGCTGCAGGTCTCTCCGCAAGCTGTCTCCTCAGCGTGCTGCCTGCCGGGTGGTCCACAGCCCATGGGCCTTCCTGCAGCTCTGTGGTTTCCCAGGGGCTTAGCCCTCCTTGTCGCTGCATGCCCCTGACCCTTGGAGAGCAGAGGCCATCTTGCGGCCATGTGACATAGACCTGTGCTCTGGGGTCCTCCCCCAAGTCCTTGCAGAGCCCACGAGCAGCTCTCTGCCTGAGAGAAGAGTCGGCGGAGAGAGGCCTGGCGGCCTCAGCTCAGCCCCGGGGAGGTGCTTAAAATTCTGAGCCCATGAACCTGCAGACGTGATTTGATGCCCCCTTTAATTTGGGGCCTGAAAGTCAGGCTCAGCTGAGCAGTGGGCCTCCTCCCAGAAGCCACCACGGCCGCCAAGGGCCTTGGGTCTGCTGGGGGCCGTGAGTGGCACTAGGAGTCTGAGCTGACTTTTTGCTGTCCTAATTATAAGACCAATGATGCTGCTGAAGGCCGACTTGTGGGGGTGTGTGTGGTGAGGGGGGTGCTTTAGCCCTCATAATCCCCAACAGCCCCCCAAATAAACACCCACTCTGAGTAAACACAGTGTACATGCTCTGCAAATACAGCTTCCAGACCATTTCCCTAGCCCCTCTGCCAGCCCCCTGCCAAGCCCCTCCTGTACGCGAATGCCGAGCTTCCGCAGCTCAGCGCCGGGCCTGGCAGGGCTCGCAGGCTGCACCAGCCCCGCCGGGCCGGAGCCCCGGCCCGCCCCCCAGCAGCCGCGCACCGTTCGAACTCCAGGGGGTCCGGCGGTGAGGCGGCTGGGGAGTGGGGGAGCTCCACTTTCTCCTCTTCCCCCTTCTCCTCGTCTTCATCCTCTTCTTGGTCTTCCTCCTCCCCTTCCTCCTCTTCCTCAGTGTCCTTCTCAGGGGCTTCAGTGGGGCACCAGGTGGCAGAACCTTTCTGCAGAACTTGGTTCAAGACCAGGCTGGTGAGAAAACAGAAGTAAGACAGCTACAGACTGCGGCCCCCCAGCAACACTGAAATTCATAACAGTTTTAGCAAACACGTGTGAAGATGGCTACATCATGACCGAGCAGGGCTTTTCTTGAGAACGCAAGTTGACTGGTTTGAACTTTGAAGATCAGTCCCCAGAGCGCACCACCTCAGCAGACCGTACGACCATCTCAGCAGAGGCAGAAAAGCACTGGCAAAACTCAATGTCCACTCATGAGAAAATCTCTCAGCGAACTCAGAACAGAAGGGAACTTCCTCAGCCTGATGAAGGGCCTCTGCAATGACCGGCAGCTAACGTCATATTAAACAATAAAAGACTGTTTCTCCACTAGATCGAGAACCAGACAAGCATGTCCACAATGACCACTTTATTCAAAATCACACTGGCAATTCTAGCCAGTCCAATAGGAAAAAAAAAAAAAAAAAATAAAAGGTATACAGATAGGAAATAAAGAGGTGACTTTCTTTGCAGACAATGTGGTGATTGAAGTAGAAAATCCCAGAGAATCTACGAATATGTGATTAGAACTCAGAAGGGAATTTAGCAACTTTGCAGAATATGAGGCCAACATACAAAAACTCAAAAAGGTCAGTAGTATTCCTATATACTAGTAGTGAACAAAATTGAAATTGTAAAACATTTCATTTAGAATAGTACCAAAACCATGAAATACTTAAACTAATACTTAGATTCAACCCAAAAAGCTCAATTTAGAAAAGAAAAAATGGTAAGTTGGATTTTCTAAAAAATTTAGAATTCTGTTTTTCAAAAGACAGTTTTTAGAGGATGAAACAGTATGATGCAATTTGGAAAACCAGAACTTGTACCCACAGAATCTTTTCATACTGACAGGAGTAATCCCCAAGGTATCATGTTGAGTTAAAAAGCAAGTGCACTAGAGGAAAACAGGAGGATTTTTTTTTTTAGAGAAAGGCTTTCTGAGAATTTCCCCAAACTCAGGTACTATAACAGATCAACAGGTTAGACTTCATTTTTGCATGGCCAAAAAAACCCCACAGAAATGTCAGAAAGAAAATAATAAAACAAATGACCAAGGGAAAACTGTTCACAAGTCATACACTAGAAAGAGAGCTAATTTCTCAGTATATATAAGAGCTTCTAGCATTAAATAACAAAAAAGATCACCAATCCAACAGGAAAATGGGCAAAAAGTAGGTGCAAAAAGTTGTCACAAAGGAAAATACAAATAATCTTGAACAAAGGCATTTTAGCTCACTCATAATTTAATCAATCAATGAAAATATAATAACTCTAAAATATAATCAGTCTATTCCTGTGCTGGTACCACAGTTTTAATCATTGCAGGTTGATAATATTTCCAGTGAAAAATCCCCCCTAGTCATTATGATTTTAAAAGAAATGAAGCTATTCTCATATGGGCAAGTAACATAAGTATTGATAAGATTTTAGTATGTGATCAAGTTTATATCATAAATCAGTAAGGCAAGGATGGCTTATGTCATAAACAGAGTGGAATCAGTGACTGGCCATTTGGGAAACGCAAATGTCCACCTCACTGAGACCATCTCCCAGGCCAATTGTGAGATGGGGCCTGGTCTGATTTGTAAAATGTGTCCACAGACAGCCTGCCACATACACTCAACACATACACACATTACACCTCCCTTCTCCCCTCTGGGTCCAAAATGGTGACGGCAGCTGTCTGTATGGAGTGCGATTGGAGGTGGTCATGTCCTTCTTTATGCTTTTCTGTATTCTCACATTGTCTACCATGCAAAATTCACTGAATTGTAATAATTTATCATTTCCCCCTGATTATCTCCCTTAGAATATAAAACATGTTCATTGTTGAAGAAATGTAGAAAACACAGAAAAGCACAGAGAAGAAAAAATGTCATCAGTGACCCCACCGAAAATGACAGGACATGATAGCACTTCACGTAGGCAGGCTTTTGGTAGGTTCTGAACAGCAAGCAGTTTGCAGCCCTATTTTCAGAGTGAATACATTTGATGGTACTGAGTCCCGTCAGAGGTCAACTTGAATATACACAGTGCTGTGGCGAGGGCCCGGCAATTGCCCCCCGAAGTGCAGCCTGCTTCCAAGGCTTTGGAAGCAGCTCTGCAGGGTGAAGATGTGGCACTGCGGGCTGAGCCATCCTTCAAGAGCACAGCAGCGAATACATCTACATGGCATACACAAAAATCCCAGACAGCCAGAGAGTTAAATAGCAAAGAGGAGAGCATAAAAGCATAAAAGGACAAGAGAGGCATTCTTAAATCAGCCCCTCTTTCACAGTTTGAGTGTGACATTTGAAATGAGCTCCCCTTTCAGCATCTGTGACATGCAGGCCTACCATGGTTTCCTTCCCTCTCTAACCTACAACTTGCCTTTTCTTAGGTTCCTATGAAGCTTGGAAAGTGGGTGGAGCTTGAGATTTTCCTTATATTTATCTATATCCTTCAATAAAGCCCTTAATTATTTTTTTCTTAAAGCTATAATACAATATGAAAACTATGATCTCATTTCTCTATAAAATAAGGTGCAAAATAGAAAAAAAAACTAGGCTATTCTTTGAAATTAACATTGATAGTTCTTGAGTGGTGAAGCAACGTGTATTTTTATTTTCTCTTTTGGGCCTTTCTGAAGTTTTTGACATTTTCTGTAATAAGCATGGATTATTATTATAATTGGGAAAAAAGCCAATGCATGTTATTAGAATAAAAGAAAAGAACTCTCTCTACCACTAAACTGTTCCTGAAAAGACTGTTCCAAACTTGTCTGTTCTGCATTCTGGAGGGGAAGTTGAGCAGGAGCAGAACAGGAAAGAAGAATGGGGGTTCTGGGTCTCCCTGCTTGGGGGTCTTACCTTTGATTTCTGGAGTACATGTTGACATATTCTTTCTTGACCTCCTCTAAGCTGTTTGCATTCCCATCCTCCAGGTTGAAGGATTCTATCAGAGAGTTGAGGGCAACAGTCACAAAGGAGCTCTCCTGACTTTGGGATCAGGTGGACCGTGGGTGGATCCTGAACCCGCCTGGGTTCAGTGTTTGGGGGTCCAGAGCCCAGTTTCACCTCTCCTTCTAGATGTGTGGGAAGAGCTCTCCACTGGGGGCAGAGCTTCCTCTCAATCAGGGCATCGAAAGTTTCCTTTCCAGAGTTTAGCTGCCACTGGCTTATTAAACCCCAGGACGCAGCCTGCCATCTCTCCCCAGCTGAACGCGAAGGAAGAGGGCCAGGTTCTGCCCTTTGCTCTGAGCCTGGCCGGCTCTGGCCTGCGTCTTCTCTGGCCTCTCAAGGTGACATCAGGTGCCCTTCAACAGCACCACCATGGGGACTGATCATGCTCCATACCGTCAGACAGGAAGCTCCCAGAGGACAGGGGCGCATGTCTCTTCATACCTCTGCCCCAAGCACAGTGCCCGGCACACAGTAGGCACTCTGTAAGTATTTGTTCTCTTGGCTTAACCCAGTTTCTCTGTTTCCAGCAGAAACACCAACCAGCCTTCCCCTGGGAGGGAGATGGGGATGGCAGGTCGGGAACTATTACCTTTCAGCTTCAGCAGATTATCCAGGTTTTGTTCCAGTTCCTGAATATGACTCTTCGCCTTATTCAGAACCTGCCACTGAGGACAGAGACAGAGATGCTGAAAAGCCAGCCTTCCGCTGCAGAGCCTGGCCATGTGGACACAGGAGCCCTTCCCCAGTCTGAGGCCATGCTGCCTCAGATGCCAAGTCCCACTCCTTGATATTGTAGATGAAAAAGGGGAGGAAGTTTGTTCTGATACACAGAAGGCATGAACTTTAGTTTGTATGCTGGAAATGGTTCTTACAGAAATACCAAAGTATTTGGAAACGATTACCTGTGTTCAGCAAACTACCAGGGCTGCACAAAGGCTAACAACTGCATATACTACTTGAGGTGGAATAAACAAGGGCTGTATCAGCCCCAGGCTGGCACAGAGGCCCAGACCTAATCTCTGCTCAGCTGTCACAATGTGTGGCTGGCTGGTTAATGTTAAATGTACTCTTCTAACAATATTTTTTTATTTGTCAAATGAATACATTCCAGTTGATCTAAAAACTTCTCAAATGCTCTCCATCAGCTTAAAAGCTGAATTTCCTTTTCTGAAAGACTAGAATGGCAAACATTTCCTCCCTCCCTCCCTCCTTCCTTCCTTCCTTTTCCTTCCTGTCTATAGTATTAGTACTAAAGTCAAAATGGTAACTGCAAGGTTATTAAAAAAAGGGAAATGCTAAATTTGTTTATTATGCTGATGACTGATAGCCGTCAGGAGTTACATGCATTCATCAGACAAGCAGAAAGAGCAAAGCTGTGTGCTGAGCCCCTGGGACACAGAAGAAACAGGACAGCCCCTGCTCTCAGACATTCTCACAGGGTAACAAGCATGGAGATGACGACTCATGGCACAAGCTAGAATTCAGGAAGCACTAAAAAGGGGTAGAAGCAAAGGGCTGTGGAAACACACAGGAGGAAGTTCTGATTCCAGATGGAGCGACAGAGAAGACTCCATGGAGCCCGGCTGCTGAGCAGAGCCAGCGGAGCTGAGCTCTGAAGTGCACATAGACTCTCAAGGGCAGAGCTAACCGCATGAGGAAAGACAGAGGCAGGGAGCTGCCTAGGGGAGATGTGGCCGGCGGGTGGGGTGGGTGGGGGAGAGGACAGCACAGCAGCTGAGGGTGGACCACCATTCTGGGTGCTGCCATTCTGGGGTCTCACTGATTCTGCCTGGTGCATCGAAGGTGACTTGAAGAGCACTATGAGCACAGCGCTCGGCTGCCCTAGAAGACAGCGACCTGAGATACACGGGAATCCAGCAGATCATGCGCGCTGCAGGATCTGAAACCCTTCTTTTAGGCGGGTCTGCCTGCCTTCCTCCATGATCTGCTGCCCCCTGTCCCGGGGCTCATGATTACACTGTGGGGTCAGCAAGGACTCTGCTCCTTCTTGGGACACCAGAGGCCAACTGGCTGCCCAAACCTTGGGCTGGTTTTTAGGGTGAGGTGAGGACCTTGCTGCCCTCTAGTCCAGGGCGAGTGGCTGCATTGGCTCAGCAGCACCACACTCCGCAGTCTCACTGTGTACAGCTGGACCAGAACACAGCCAGGGAAGCCAGGGACAGCTCGCTGCAGTTCTGTGTCTAGAATGTGTTTTAGCAGGCTAATTTTCTTAGGACCTTTGTTCTGGGTTGAATTGTGTCCCCCTAAAAAAGATTTGTTGAAGTCCTAACCATCAGAACCTGTGAACATGACCTTGTTTGGAAATAGGGTTTTATAGAGGTAATTGGTGATAATGAGGTCATTAGGGGGTCCCTAATCCAGTGTACGATAAGTGTCCTCCTGAACAGGGGAAATTGGATGCAGAGAAAGACATGCGCAGAGGGCAGAGGATATGAAGACACAGTGAGAAGACAGCCACACAAGGGGAATGATGCCTCTACAAGTCAAGGAAGCCAAGGACTGCCCACCAATTCCAGAAGCGGGGAGAGGCCAGGAAGGAGTCTCCCCTAGAGCTGTTAGAGGGGGCATGGCCCTGCAGACACCTTGATTTGGGGCTTCCAGCCTTCAGAACTCTGAGACAATACACTTCTGTTCTTCTAAGCCATGCAGTTCCTGGTAGTTTGTTAGGGCAGCCCTAGGAAACTAATACGACCTTGACGCACCATTACTCTCATAGAACAAATCCTTTCTTCGGGGATATTGCACATGCACAATTCAGGGTTGTCCCTCATGCAGGACAGAGAAAGGAGAGTACAGAGAACATCTGGTTGTCAGGCTGTTTCCTGGATGTGCCGTTTCTGGTGAAAGTTTAACTTTCTGGGGGCCTCAGTTTCTTCCGCTGTAACACTGGGCTGATGTGCACAGAAAGGGAGAAATAAGGTACTGTACCGGGAAATGATGCTAACATTGAAAACCACTATGCGACGCTACATCTTTTCATGCAGTTATCCTGTTAAACTCCACAACAGGGCTCTGAGGAAGCCCTTGGTATTGTCCGCATTTAACAGATGTGATAACTAAAGCTTAGCAAGTAACTTGCCCCACGTGGACTGAGGCCTGTTAACAGCCAAGCCCTCAACCACCAAGTTGGGAGATACTCATTATAGGGGGTGCAAATGGTTTTCCTCTAGATTTCCTTCCATTTCTCACTTGCAGGTCCTGGAAGCCTGTTCTTTCTTGGGGCCTGCTGCCAGTCTGTACACGTCGTCACTGGCCACTTACAGAGACCTGCATTTTAATGCACCCCTAGAAGCATGCAGTATGTGTCTCTTCATCCAGGGGACCTGTGGCAGAGCTGTGCTGGACAAGCTCTCCACCACCAGGCCCAGAGGTGGGATCTCCCTCCCTTTCCCCACCCTGCACCCCTGAGCCCAGCTCAGCAGGGGGAGGAGGAATGACCCTCCCAACACCACTCACCCTGTACCCTTCACAAGGGCGGGTGGGGATCTCTGTGGGATTCAGCTAAAAACAACCACGTCTTTGTGTGGGGCCCCACCCTAGGGTGTTGGGGCACCTGCCTCTGATTTCCGCATAGGCCCTGCCCTGTGCCTGCTGAGGAGCTCTTCTGCAGGCTGCCCTCCACGAGGATGCCATGCCAGTTCTGGAAGCAGAAGCTCTTGCCATCAAATGGGCCCTCTCTGTAAGTGCCACTCTGCTGAGAGCACCAGCCTGGGAAGGAAAACCCTCGGCTGGAACAGTCACAGCACAACAGGCTGGTCCAGAGAGGCGGAAGGTGGAAAGAGGGCTGGTCTGGAGCCGGCAATGGGGGCCTTTTCCTGGTCTTGCCACCAACCAGCTGATCTGAGTTCTCTGGACCCCAGTCCCTCCTCTGTTAAAGAGCTTGGGGGGCCAGAGGTGCTCGGGGACATGCCCACTATTGGAGACCCCCTAGAGTGCTTGTCTAATACTTTTAATTCCATTCCTGCTACCACCACCTGAAACCATACAAAACGTCCTCGATGCTCTGCCAGAGGCGCTAACATGCAACAGAAAAGCCACGTAAGGAGAAAGGTGGAATTAAGAGCAGGGAAAGGAAAACATTTACATGGGAGCCCTGCTGCTTAAGGAGAAAGACCCGCCTGGCACACAAACACCGAGACACGTTCCTGTGCCTGGCATGTGTGTTTGGGGTGGGGACACAGGGTCCAGGAGCAGCTGCTGAGCTGGAGGTTCACCACTGCC